TCCCTCCCTCCCTCCCTCCCTCCTTGTATACACATTAAATCCTTTGAACAAAAGGCATTGTGTGGAAATAGACAACACCACCACTACACTGGAGAAAAGTAGGCCAAGGATTAACTAGCAAACTTACCTCCAGGTCCTCTTATTAAACACAAGATATGGTTTAGGGGGAGTGCAGCTTTACTGAGAGGAGGAAATTACGGTCTTGATTTCTTGCATTTGGAGCAATTTCACTGGAGATACCACTTTGTTCTATCGTCAAGAGTCAAGTCTTGTAGTTGCAAGTATTTTCTTCACCTTGACCAACTCGCGGTCATCTGCTTCACCCGACTGCCAATTTCCAAAGGCCTTATTAGTGGCGTCACTCCCATCTTTCAATTTGCAGACCTGCTAGTTGGCACCAGTTACAAATTCGCATTTGGTGCAAGTGATGAAGACACAAATAGTAGCTTACACAATTTTAGCACACCAAAGCGAACTATGAAAGTCTCTGTTATGATTTCTAAGAGAAACGCACTACTTATGAGCATCGTGGAAGTGCATGAGAGAATGAAAACCGCACATTTTGAATAGTGCCTAAGGGAAGCATGCAATTTGCAGAAGAAAGTATAAGTAGCTAATATTTGTATGATATCTTGAAAAGGAAGTTGCTGAAAATGAGTTCAAGTTTGCTGCCTATTGCCCCACAGGGTGTGGAGGTGTCAAATGAAATGAAGGAGAGGGAGGGAGGGAGAGAGAGAGACGAGGGAAAAAAGGGGGAAAGCAAGCGAGCGACTAATAGCGCCAATCAGGAGCAGAGAAGGAAGAAATGCTTCACTAACGAACGATATATAGAGTTGAGGAGGAGGAGGAGGTAAGAGGAGTGCCATGGAAACGGAAGAAAACACACACACACATATACAAGAGACCTCAAAAGAAGATGCGAGTACGAATCGAGAGATGGATGATGCGCTTAGACTTGGCGCCATGACGAGACGACAGACAAGTGTTATCTGATCTCCCACGGCGTGCGAGTTGGGGGAGGGACATACACTAATTGGCGGACAAAATAGGAGAAGGGGGAGACCATAAAACTTAGGACGGCAAGCTTTAATATGAACGTGGGGGATAACTTTTCGCTACGATTAAAAGCATACCTTTAGGTGGCGAATTTGTAAAGGAAAAAGTGAATCTGAAAGTAACGCCAATCTAAGCAGCATGCGATGCAGTGCAGATTCCAGTGGCATTCGACGACAACCAGGCCCAACCACCAACCACCAACTACCATTCATAAGTTAGCTAAGAAGGAAAAGCATGAATTGAAACATTTAATGGGAGCATTTGATATGCATTTGCTGACTCTTCGAAATTATGTTTTTACTTATAAGATAAAAAAGAGCTAATCAAGATCACCCAATTCAGTGGGTAAATTAAGAGTCCCTGAAAAGTGGCAAGTCGGTGCCTTCAAAGGACCCACCACCACGTTGCTCGGGGGGGGGGGGGGGGGGGGGGGC